ACATCACCACCCCCAGCACTACCACCCCCAGCCCCACCTCACCCCCAGCCACACACCACCCCTAGCCACCTACCACCCCAGCCATCTCACCACCCCCAGCCACTCACACCCCAGCCACTCCCCTCGCCGCCAGCCACCCACCACCCCCAGCCACCCACCACCCCCGCACTCACCCCCCGCCAGCCATCCCACCACCCAGCCATCCACTCACCCCAGCCACTCCCCACCCCCAGCCACTCACCACCCCCAGCACTCACCACCCCAGCCACTCCCCACCCCCAAGCCACTCACCGACCCCAGCCCACCTACACCCCCTGTCCACCAGCCCACTCACCACCCCCAGCACCTCACCACCCCAGCCACCACACCCGACCCCTAGCCACCCACACCCACCACCCCAGCCACTCACCACCCCCACCCATCACCACTCCAGCCACTCCCTCCCCCAGCACGCACCGACCCCTAGCCACTCACCACCCCCTGCCACTCACACCCCCAGCCACTCCCACCCCCCAGCCCACTCACCACCCCCCAGCCACTCCCCACCCCCAGCCACTCACCACCCCAGCCACTCACCACCCCAGCCACTCCCCACCCCCAGCGCACTCACCACCCCCAGCACTCACCACCCCCCTGCCACTCCACCACCCCCACCACCTCACCGGACCCCCAGCCACTCACCACCCCCAGCCACACACACCCCTAGCCACCACCACCCACCACCCCCAGCCACTCACACCCCCATGCCACTCACCACCCCAGCCACTCCCCTCCCCCAGCGCCAACCCCACCACCCCCAGCCACCCACCACCCCTAGCCACTCACCACCCCGCACAGCCACGCACCACACCTAGCCCACCCACGCACCCCAGCACTCACCACCCCAGCCACTCACCCACCCAGCCACTCCCTCCCCCAGCCACCCACCACCGCCTAGCACTCACCACCCCCAGCCACCCACCGACCCCAGCACTCACCACCCCCAAGCATCACCACCCCAGCCTCACTCCCTCCCAGCCGCATCCACCCCCAGCCACCACCACCCCAGCCACCCACCAACCCCTAGCACTCACCACCCCCACCACGCACCACCCCTAGCACCCACCACCCCGCCACCCACACCCCCAAGCCACCCACCACCCACGCCATCACCATCCCCAGCCACTCGCCACCCCCAGCCACTCCCCTCCCCAGTCCACTCACCACCCAGCCACTCCCCTCCCCTAGCCACTCCCCTCCCCCAGCACGCACCACCCTAGCCACTCACACCCCCAGCCACGCACCACCCCAAGCCCACTCCCCTCCCCAGCCACTCACACCGCACCACCCCAGCCACTCCCACCCCAGCCACTCACCACCCCAGCACTCACCACCCCAGCCACTCACCACCCCAGCCACCACACCCCCAGCCACACCCCCACCCAGCTCACCACCACCCGAATACACTCCACCGACCCCCAGCACTCACCACCCCTAGGCCACTCACCACCTCAGCCACTCACCACCCTCCCACACACCCCCCAGCCACTCCCCACCCCCAGCCACCTCACCCCCCCAGCACTCACCACCCCAGCCCACTCACACACCCGCAGCATGCACCCCCAGCCACACACCCCCAGCCACCACACCACCCCAGCCACTCACCACCCCAGCCGACACACCCCCAAGCCACCCACCACCCCTAGCCACCACACCCGCGCCACCCACCACCCTCACGACCACCGCCCACCACCCCCCATGCCCACCACCCCCAGCCATGCAGCCACTCACCCCCAGCCACCCACCACCCCCAGCCACCCACCACCCCAGCCACTTCAGCTCCCCCAGCCACTCGCCACCCCAGCCACTCCCTCCCCCAGCGCCACTCACACCCCAGCCACTCCCCTCCCCAGCCACTCCCCTCCCCAGGCCACGCACCACCCTAGCCACTCACCACCAGCCACGCCACCACCCCCAGCCTCCCCTCCTCCCAGCGCACTCACACCACCACCCACCACCCCAGCCACTCACCCACCCCAGCCACACACACCCCCAGCCACTCACACCTCCAGCACTCACCACCCCACAGCCACTCCCCTCCCCCAGCCACGCACACCCCTAGCCACTCACCACCCCCAGCCATTCACCACCCCCAGCCACTCCCCCTCCCCAGCCACTACCGCTCCCCCAGCCATGCACCACCCCCAGCCACTCCCCTCCCCCACCATGCCCCACCCCCAGCACTCACCACCCCCAGCCACTCACCACCCCAGCACTCCCCTCCCCCCAGCCACTCCCCTCCCCCCAGCTATGCACCACCCCCAGGCCACTCACCACCCCAGCCACTCACCACCCCCAGCCACCCACCACCACCCGCCACTCACCACCCCAGCATCCCCTCCCCACCACTCACCACCCCAGCCACTCACCACCCCAGCCACTCACCACCCAGCCACTCACCACCCCAGCCACTCCCTCCCCCACACCCGCCACGCACCACCCCCACCACCACCCCAGCACTCACCCCCAGCCACCCACCCGCGCACTCACCACCCCAGCCACCACCACCCCCAGCCACACACCACCATCCAGCCACACACCACCTCCATGCCACTCACGCAACCCCAGCACGCACCCACCCCGCCACTCACCACCCCAGCCACTCCCCACCCCAGCCGTCCCCTCCCCAGCCACTCCCCACCCCAGCCACTTCCCACCCCGAGCATCACCTCCCCCAGCACTCACACCCAGCCACCACACCCCAGCCACTCACCACCCCAGCACTCACACCCCCAGCCACTCCCTCCCCCAGCACGCACACCCCCTAGCCATCTCCACCACCCCCAAGCCATTCGAACCACCCCAGCCCCCCTCCCCTGCCACTCCCCTCCCCCAGCACTGCACCACCCCAGCCCCCCCCTCCCCCAGACATGCACCACCCCCGCCACTCACCACCCCAGCCACTCACCACCCCCAGCCACTCCTCCCCCAGCCAATCCCTCCCCAGCCACGCCGCACCCCCAGCCACTCAACCACCCCAGCCATCAACCTCCAGCCCACCCCACACCCCCAGCCACTCACCACCCCCAGCACTCCCCTCCCCCAGGCCACCCAGCCATTCACCACCCCACAGCCACTCACCAACCCACAGCTCACTCACCACCCACTCACCACTTCCCAGCCCGCCACCACTCCCCCCCACCAGACCACCAGCCACCCACCACCCCAGCCACTCCCCTCCCCCAGCCACTGTCACACCCCAGCCCAACTCAACCCCCCAGCCACCCACCACCCCAGCCCACACACCACCTCCAGCACACACCACCTCCAGCACTCACCACCCCCAGCACGCACCACCCCCAGGCACTCACCACCCCAGGTCCACTCCCACCCCCAGCCACTCCCCTCCACAGCCACTCCCCACCCACCACTCACCACCCCCAGCCACTCACCTCCCCCAGCATCACCACCTCAGCCACTCCCCTCCCCCAGCCATGCACCACCCCCAGCCACTCACCACCCCCAGCCACTCCCTCCCCCAGCCCCTCACCAACCCCGCCACTCGACCACCCCCAGCCACTCACCACCCCCAGCACTTCCCACTCCCCCAGCCACGCCACCACCCCGAGCACGACCACCCCAGCCTCACCACCCCCAGCCACTCACCACCCAGCCACTCACCTCTCCCAGCCATGCACCACCCCACCCCCCACCCCCACACACCACCCCCAGCCATGCCACACCCCCAGCACTATCCCTCCCCCAGCACTCACCTCCGCCAGCCACTCACCACCCCCAAGCCACACACCCCGCCAAGCCACTCAACCACCCCCAGACCACTCCCTCCCCAGCCACTCCCTCCCCAGCCACGCAACCAGCCCCAAGCCCACGCACCACCCCCAGCACTCCCCTCCCCCAGCTCACTCACACCCCCAGTCATTCCCCTCCCTTTAGCCACTCTAATTAATTATAACAATTAAATTAGGTATCTGGTAACAAGTACGTGTGGGTATAGACGATTTGTTATACAGTAAGTACAGTTGTATGCAGTAAAATCCTAGAGTCTAGTATGCCTTTAACACATCAGTGCAGTCTGGTGTGACATTGTGTTGTAACGTGGCTACTTCTAACACGTGAATGGAGATCCTGTAATTCTGGCATTGATGAGTGAGAGGGAGACACACGTACCTCCTACTGCTTGCACGGCGACGCGCAACCATCCCTTTACATCGCCTTTCTCATTCACGATGGATACCTTGTGCACCAGCGGTACTGGATACATCAGGTTGGTAAGGAACACGAACGCCCTGTATAGAATCACGACAATCTCATTGGTAGGATATCCGCATCGTCTCGATTATTTCCATGCAAATTTTACATGTTACGTTCTCAATGTATTGCACGCACGTGCACACACACACGCACACACACATATACGCACGCACACATATACGCACGCACACACACACTGTTAAGAATTAAGGCAATCTAATTGGTTCACAATGTACTAATGTAGCATAGGTAGCATGGTAACATGTTCGCATGGTGTCGATTATTCCTATAGAAGTTTTACATTTCTTTCTCAATGCATTGCACTGCACGCACGCACACACTCGGCCATCTCACCTTCCAACCAGCCTGAACCACGGGAATCTATCATAGAACGGATCCCCTCCTGTTATGCTCTCAATGTTCGCGTCGGGAGAGGTCGGGGAGAGGTCAGCCTCGTTACGGTACATCTCTCTCATCAGCTCCAACCGTTGCCTAGGCGACAGCAAACACGAATCATCATCGCGTGGCGGACAATAAACGCGGAAGCGATTTCATCGTATTGCATCAATTCATCATGGGAGTGCAATGAATCGACGTCAGCCACGGCGTAACAAGTGTGTCACCGGCACACAGACATGTTTACATGACAGACGGTATCGTCATGTAAACGATGACGCCAACGACACGAACAACACCGACGGAGAGTGCGAGGCGAGAAAAAACGTATACGCCACAAAAAACCGCGAGCAGTTAGCGATAAAGTTCAACGATAGTATGTCGTTACATTCGCGTGACAATACATCGAATCACCTAGCATCTAATATGACGCTGTTGAATTATTTTGATCCTTTTCTCCACCTCTGAGCAATTTCGCTGATAATTTTCATTAACAAAACGACATTACTAGGCGATGACAGCATTAAGCAACAATGGTAAACTGCGAAAATATATATAGAGTATACAATGCACAATAATCTCTGCGAAAATTAAATTCATCTGCAAGGCAAATTGCAAGCGAAAATCATGAAGTCGAATCAAAAGACTACGTCGCATCGCACGAATGCTCGTTCATGCACGAAATGAACAGATTAATATGCGAACAAAGAACAGAAAGCAAACTATACGATCATCAGCCAAACACGAAAAATCGGTGAAAAGTTCGAGTCTCCGTGTCGTGCACGAGAACAACAGCGAAACGCGCCGCTCGCACACAGCCAACCCTGCCCTCTAGCGGACTGTCATTGGTAGCAATCTTCCTCCTGTTTTCTATAACCCCTCTCTTTTAGAAACCGATAAAGGAGCGAGTGTAAATCACACCCAACATACCACCCACGTTACATACCACCCACGTTACCATTTCCGTACGTCTGCTAATGTGAACATGAACGCCACCTGGCAGCACAACTGACATAGCGAGGTGTAAAACAGTGCATATAACTGCCACAGTGACTACCGACCGCGTGAGATCTCCCCATGCGGCCGGGGTGGGGGGAGATGGGCGAGGGGGGACTGTGTAGGAGCCACTGATAACGCCACGCACAACACTGCATGATATATGCTAGACGACGACGACACACACCTAGACGGGATCAGGTTGTAGAAGCTAAAATAGTTTTGACTACTGGAGCAGCCAATACACTTGAACGGGTCCTCGCTATCTTCGGGAGGCGTGTCCGGAGACAGGTCCTCATTGTAAATGTGTCGCATCAGCTCCAGACGGTGGCTGCACGGCGCGACAACGATGACCCGGGGTTAGTTATAGACAGCTATAGACGGTGACGATGACGCGGGGTTAGTTATAGACAGCTATAGACGGTGACGATGACGCGGGGTTAGTTATAGACAGCTATAGTCGGTGACGATGACGCGGGGTTAGTTATAGACAGCTATAGTCGGTGGCTGCTGACGCGGGGGTAGTTATAGACAGCTCCAGACGGTGTCTGCACGGCGCGACAACGATGACCCGGGGTTAGTTATAGACAGCTATAGACGGTGGCTGCACGGCGCGACAACGATGACGCGGGGTTAGTTATAGACAGCTATAGTCGGTGACGATGACGCGGGGTTAGTTATAGACAGCTATAGTCGGTGACGATGACGCGGGGTTAGTTATAGACAGCTATAGTCGGAGTCTGCACGGCGCGACAACGATGACGCGGGGTTAGTTATAGACAGCTATAGTCGGAGTCGGTGAGAAACGCGATATAACACAACGTGTCTCCTCGCAGTGACGCACCACACAAACACACACACACACACACACACACACACACACACACACACACACACGCACACACACACACACGCACGCACGCACACGTACGCACGCACTCGGGCACATATGCGACAGTGCAGTGATAGGAGTGCCCTGTTGTTAATAGTGCTCTGCCTTCTAGCGAGGAATGGCCGAAGAATACAATTCCGTAGCTGATCTAGTAAGTGAGGTGTATTGAATCAGATGTGTAAAACCTCGATTGCAGGGTTTATGCTTTAGCACGAACGTGATATTATAACGATATGATAACATAACGATCTTCTATCGTCATATCAAACCTAAACGAGTATAGATGTGTTCACGGTGTTACTAGCTAAACGTGTATAACGTTAAAACGTATGTACGTTGATATAACGTTATGTACGGTATATACGTGCGCCAAAAAATCACGTACATAACGTTTGTGCTCATTTTAACTTTGGAAACCAACTCGTTTCTTGGAAATGAGAACGGAGAATGGTCAACACCATCGTTAGCTTCAGACCATCATGGAATCATAGAACATCATAAAACATCAGAGCATCCCACCACAGCGACTTTGTTATAAAACACATCGGTACATACAATCATAAACTATATACATACGCATTACATATATGCACATACATGTATATATACATAGATATACATAAGTATATATGATATGCGTACGATACAGGTATTTAATATATAGGTGGGTTACTACAGAGCTGGCATTTCGAGGCAGCTGACAAGGATAAAGACGAGCAATGAAACATGATAGTACAACATTGATAGCACACGAGCTGTTGTCCGGGATGGGGGGGACAGTGATGGGTTGCTATGATGTAAGCGTACGCACACAAAGCCTTCTGCTGACAACAAGCAATAACCAGCGAAACACACGTGCAAGCTGGGTGGATAGCTTAATAACTCAATATAAAATACAGCTCATCAACTTAATATAAAATACAGCTCCTATAACTTAATATAACATATATAGCTCATTAACTTAATATAACATATAGCTCATTAACTTAATATAACATATAGCTCATTAACTTAATATAACATATAGCTCAATAACTTAATATAACATATAGCTCATTAACTTAATATAACATATAGCTCCTATACTTAATATAACATATAGCTCATTAACTTAATATAACATATAGTTCATTAACTTAATATAACATATAGCTCCTATAACTTAATATAACATATATAGCTCATTAACTTAATATAACATATAGCTCATTAACTTAATATAACATATAGCTAATTAACTTAATATAACATATAGCTCATTAACTTAATATAACATATAGCTCCTATAACTTAATACAACATATAGCTCATTAACTTAATATAACATATAGCTCATTAACTTAATAAAACATATAGCTCAATAACATAATATAACATATAGCTCTATAACTTAAAATATAACATATAGTTCATTAACTTAATATAACATATAACTCATTAACTATAGCTCAATAACTTAAAATATAACATATAGCTCACATTAACTTATGCAACATTTACATCTCACGCGACCTGGTCATGAACTGCATCAAAGTCTAAACACCCGCATAAATATATCAGGAGGCACCGAGTGCCACAAAGAGACATGATATAGTATGACACGCCTGAACATATAAGATCTGCATGTACGGAAAGCTCTTTCTCGCTCGGGCACCTATAATATGTTTGTTGATGATGCTACAGTCACAGACTGATAATGTTCCGCTACATTACTCCCACGTTTCCTCCATCGCTGCGTCATGAACATATAGCGCATACGTTTCTGTACGTGTACACTATACAGAAAAAGTCATTTCTCTATAGAAATAGACTAGTAGCACAATACTAAAATCATAGACTATTTGCCACAACTCAAATAACAGCCAGCAGGTGTGCAGCCTAGTGACATGCAATATAAAACTCATATAAAACTGAAATCGCACTCAAAAGCAGGCCAGCTATGTATATATATATATATATACATTAATACCAAGAGCTAATAATAGGTGTTATTGAAATACTCTTGCATATATCAATATGCAAATATACAAGCACACGTGTATGGCTACGAAATATACTACTGCAACTAAATTCCGAAAACAACCAAAGCATCTAAGGACGCGAGTTGAGTAACAGAACAATCGCTCGCCCACCAAGCACTAGCATTACTGCGGCGTGTTCGATCCCGCTAGCATCATGCAGGAACATAACGTGAAGCTCGTAGTTCTGGTGTTCACCCCCGCGCGCGGCGTTCACATCCCAACGCGCGCACGTGGGACGAGAAAATAAATCGTCAACCGGCCGCCGCCGCAGCACGAGACTGCACTCACCTACTAGTCGCACGCTCGCATGCTCGTACACAGCCCCGCCCGTGCCGACGTAAGGGGGCGCCACTTACGTGAGTTTCTCCAGCGACCAGTAGTGCGTGGCTCCGTTCTTCGTGTCCAGCACTTCGACAGCGACGATTGTTTTCGGGTACGGCCGGTTGTTGCAGTTGTATCCGCACGGCAACAACTCTGAGGGCAGCGGCGAGTAGAGACTGTCCGTAAGCAGCACGAACTGAAACTGCACCTATAAACAAGAGAGCACACGTGAGCAGCACGAACTGAAACTGCACCTATAAACAAGAGAGCACACGTGAGCAGCACGAACTGAAACTGCACCTATAAACAAGAGAGCATCAGCATCTGCTACTAGTTAACTTTGTCTTCGAATTACTACCTGAAATGAACTAACCAAAACAATGGTATGTGCAGGTGTTTTGAAGGTCAGGTCTCATGTTAAAGCTGGGTTTACACTGCCAACTTGTGTTGGCAAATTGCCGAATTGTATCAACTTCGCAACTTTGCAACTGACAATCGGCAGTGTAAACGCAAAAGTTGCACGTCCAACCGATCGATAGCAGCTAGTTGGGAGATTAGAACATGTTCTAATTCGGCAATTCGCCAACTCAAATTTGGCAGTGTAAACGCAGCTTAAGCTATGTTCATTTCAACAATACACCGGTTAATTAATGTTGTGTCCGTTTATAATGATTCGTAGATCTAACTGAGCTTATGTTTATACCTTTTTCTTTAGTTCGACGCTAATGGCATTAGCCTCCTTTAGGAAGATAGCGTTTCCCCACAGGTCGTCACGCAGCGAGGTGAACTGATGATACCTCCACTTCTCAAAGCCCCACTTCGCTTGATTAAACTCCTTTTCAGTCCAAGTGCAGTCTGCTGAATAGACATTAAACACACACGTTATTATACATCTCCAACAAGCCCTCACCCCATCACACATAGTCAGTCTCTGTCACCCGTAGTTTACTTATAACTTTAACCCTAAAGCATTCAGTAATTATTAACTAATAAATTTTTAATTATCAGCTAATAGACTAGTCAACTAGTTAACAGATAATAAACTAATAACATAATTAATCGCTGATGAACCAATCAAATACTCGATAACCGATAAACCATATCACGTAATCGACGCCTAACAAACTAATTAAGCAATCGACAGCTAATTGCCGAGTTGGCGCTGATCGACCGTGGCGGCGGTGGCAGCGGTGGCTCCACCTACCGAAGGTGTCGTCGTCCTCGGCGGTGAACTCGTCCGGGGTCATGCTGGACATGAGAGACTGAGTCTCAACGATCTTCTGTAGGTCCTGGATGCGAGACTCGTAGTCCTGTCTCTGCTTCTCAAACCTCAGCTCTGCCTCCAGCTGCTCCTGCCTGTACTGCTCCTCCAACACGTTCAGCCTGCCGCACGCACGCAGAGAGAGAGGGAGCGTTACCATCGTCATCATCACGGTCCTCGCCGCAGTCGCACGACACTTGATGATGATTTTTTTTTTTTAGATGATTTTTTGATTTTTTGATTTTGATTTTTTGATTTAGATTTATTTTTCTTTCGGAGCTAATCTGTTTTTATTTTTGGAGCGGCTGAGTCGATCCAGTGTTACCAGTGTCACGTGAAATCGTAGGTACGTGGGTAATAACAACTACCGTCGTTATCTACTATGGTGTATAACTGTACTTCATCTCTGTGTGTGTGTGATGCTATGAGTGTTAGGGTGCACGCTATGATTAGCTGGCTATATTTTAGAGAGAAAAAAAACAATTCGATGACCTTCTAGTGATAAAAAGCGGGGTAAACGACATTTTTCAGTGCAAATGCACGACCGCCAAATCTATCACTATAAATCCGTGTACTGTAATTTACTGTCTATTTACTACTGTATTTAGTACGAGCGTACTGCGTATGGAACGCTTTCGTATGCTGCACTGTCGAGTGTTGCGTCAGCGCGCGTGCACAGCTGCCAACTACTACTACTAGCAACTCTTACCTCTTATCCATCTCCTGCTTGATATCAACGCCCTGCTTCTCCAGCAGCTCCTGCAGAGCGAAGCTGTAGTCATGGGGATCCACATCTGTAACACACACACAACCACCTCATCGATGCATGAAGGTCACACACACACACCTCATCAATGCATGAAGGTCACACACCAAGACATGCCAACCTATTTTGAATATAAAGCTGGTCCGATCCGCGTGGCGGACGCAGTCGCGCGCGAGACGAGTGGTAAATCGGTTATCGATGCGCGCTAGGGGGTCTGGGCATCGCCGCCCGCCAGGAAAATTTCTAAAATGTGCTAATGCGTGCCGTTCCTCTCTGCATTCTGGGGAGTAATTGACGCAATAGAATACATTAGAGATACATTACATACATTGTATTAGAGATGAAAATGAAAACCAAAAGAAAAAAAAAAAGTTTTTCAAAATATATGCAATGCGTAGAATAGTATTATAAAGCGGTTAGGCCTGGTAGATAGTCTTCAAAAAGGCGTAGTTCTAGCGGCGTGAAAGCTAGGTTGGCCGTGTATGACAGCAACAACGTCACCTCATCGATGCAGTGAAGGCACAGCAGCACAACGCCCCGTCATGCGATGCATGAAGGTCACACACAAACATCTACCACCGCTCATCGATGCCATGAAGTCACACACATCACAGCAACCCACCTCATCGATGCATTGAAAGGCACACACAAACACACCACCGTCAATCCGATGCATGAAGTCCAGCACACAGTGACTCTTCACACCTCATCTGATGCATGAAGGTCTACAGGGCACACACACCATCTCACGCTGCATGAAGGCACACACAACACAACCACCTCACACGACTCATAAGGCACATGACACACACACCTCATTCGCTGCATAGAACGGTCACACACATCACATTTCGCAGCAGTGGAGAGCAACAACCAATGAGCGCCATGCCGATGCGCTGACACCACAACCCCAACGTGAGCGCACCAGTGTATATAATATGAAATAAAAAATCTAAAAAACAAAACTTGAAAAAACTTTTTTTTTTTGGCGAAGAGCTGTCACAGCAGACATAAGTCACATAGCGTTTAATGGGATTTTTAATGCAGCTTTGCATGTATAATTATACTAAACAACATGGGATGCCGGAATCCTTTTATTTGCGATGTGGGTAAGCAGCACGCCGAAAAACTTAATGCCGATAAAATTGCCCAGCACTGATTATCAGGTTTTTTTAAAATAGTTACGATCGCCATTAAACTTACTGCTTTCACCAATCAATTCTTCGCAGAGCTGATCGCTCTCAATGAACTGGCACGGCGAAATGCATAAAACTAAACGATAAGACGATTAATATCGTATATGCATATAAGTATAAAAATAATATCTATATATATATACATATATCAGTTAAATAACCGGAAAAATTAATAAATAGAAAAGTGAAATATTGTGAATGTACTGCCGGTATATTAGAATAGAATAATATATAATGGTACTATAGTATGGAATGAAGCTGGCAACCCGCGATAGGAAAACGCATAAAACACCAACTTATATAATAATCTATATATAACTATATATGTGCATAGTAACAAAATTCACTCTATGGGCCTGTATGCAATGAAAGTTCAACAACAAAGGTGCTGGCAAGAGTGGCAGACCGCAATGTCTACTAACCTCCATCTATGGCAACCCGATACACGATATGTCGGATACACGAAACATGACACACGGAGTTGCACACAACTGGAATTTAATCTAGATAAAGCAGGATCAATCAAGATAAATCGTTAATGTAACGAATCACTACTAAGTAGATCATCGGTTAGATTAAACAGCAAAGAGCGCGTGTGACGCAGCGTCAGATGTCGCGCAGGCGGCGGCCCGTGACACAGCGACCGCGCTACACACACGTGCGTACCTTGGTCGGGATGGTTGAAGCGGAACACGTGACTCTTTCCGAAGATGATGCGACCACCCGTCTGCAGGATGTAAGGTTCCAGCACCTGCACCCCGTTCACGTAGCACATGGCGCTATCGCACGGAATCAGCAGCACGTTACCTGGTAGACAGGGTAGAGAGAGAGAGAGAGAACATGTACACGTGATCGAGAGAGATAGAGAGAGAGAGAGATAAAGAGAGAGAGGAGAGAGAGAGTCTTTGTGTACACCATCACCATCACGATAATACTTTGCAGGGAGGTTAGTGACTTCGTGCAGAGTCAGGGACCCCCCCCCCCACGGAGGCAGGGACCCCCCCCCACGGAGGAAGAAGACGAATGATCATGCCTACCATCCTTGTTGTTGAAGACGCAGTGTTCTTCTAAAATGTGAGCTCCACCCAACTGTATATCCTGTGTAATTTGAGCATCGTGGCGTCCGACTCTGTAGAATACACAGGAGTGTGATGTTATTAGATATGTTATTGTATACAGCTAGATGTGTTACATAAGTGGATGGATGTTATACAAAAACGCACATTAAACAGTTTAGCACCTTCACAATAAATTTTCATGGTTCATATATTCGTGAGAGAGCGAGTCAAATAGAGTCATGTCTACAAAGATAATGGTCGACTATCCGGGAAGTGTGCATTAAAATATATATCATTGATGATATTATATGTAAAATAAATACAGATATAAGCTGTGATTACGAACAAACCAATTTTAAATACATCGTTTAAAATTAGGTTCTATTCATATATATATA